CAAATAGATAGATAGATAAATAGACAGATAAAGAGTTGGAGGAAGGGAAGGAAAGAGGGAGGGATGGAGGGACAGAAAGAGGAAGGAACAAAAAGAGGTAGGAATGGAAAAAGAAAGAAAGAAAGAGGAAGTGAGGGAAGAAAGTAAAGAAAGAGAGAGAGAGAGAGAGAGAGAGAGAGAGAGAGAGAGAGAGAGAGAGAGAGAGAGAGAGAGAGAGAGAGAGAGAGAGAGACAGAGAGACAGAGAGAGAAAGAAAAACACGAACGATGCGAATACAAGTAATAAAGAAAAAGAAAAGAAAAAACAAACAACAGAAAACAGAATTAAACCTCTCCCTCAGTAATAACAACATAATGACGAAAATTAGAAAGAAATCAACTTAATGGAGACCTGAAAAGAAGGCGAATATTGCATAAACAGTGACAAATTGCATGCACGAATGTACTGCATTAAATCAAACTGGGAACAAAAGAGACGTAATAATTGAATAGAAAAAATACAATAGAATTAGAAGCTTACAATACACAACATATTTAAACCGAAGCGAGGAACTGACTGATATGAATTAGAGGCAAAGAATGTGTGAATAGAAGGGGAGAGATAATTATGAATGACAGATAATGGGAAGAAGAAAAATGAGGGAAGGTTATTGTTTCGATAATACTGAGAATAAAGATAGTAATAATGATAGTAATAGTGATATTTATGATGATAGTGATAATGTAAAAAAAATAGTGATAGTAATAGTGATACTTATGATGATGATAGTGAAAATGTAAAAAAAAAGAAAGATAGTAATTGTGATACTTATGATGATGATAGTGATAATGTCAGATAATAATGATAGTAATTGTGATACTTATGATGATGATAGTGATAATGCGAAAACAAAAATGATGATAATAACCTTAATAACAACAATAATAACAAGACCAAATAAAAAACAAGGAAACGAGGACACAGGTTGATAATGTCAGTGATAATGTTAAAACAACAATAACAATAATAATACCAGCAACAACAACAACAAAACAAAACAAAACAAAACAAAACAAAACGAGGAGACAGGTGGCGGGGGGGGGGGGAGTTGACGTAACTTCCCACAAAGTACCCTCTTCCCCTCCCCCCTCCCCCCCGCAGTGACCTTGAGTGACCTGGCTGCGGACCCGTCGGCTTTAGGATCAGCCAATCAACAGCAGACCCCCCCCCCCCCCCAGTAGCTGGAATAGGTCAGGCGTCTCTCGTGACCTTTTCTGCTGGGAGGGGGGGGGTTGTGCTGTCTTTGTTTGTCTGCTTGTTTTCGAATTTCGTTGTTTCACTTTGTGTGTATTTCTTTTGTTGTTTTTTCTTTTTATTCTAGTTCTAATTATTATCTTTTTTTTTTTTTCTAATTCGTCTAATTTTTGTTCTTTCTTTTTCTCCTTCTACTTCTTCTTCTTCTTTTTCTTTTTTCTTCTTCTTCTTCTCTTTCTTCTTCTACTTTTCTTTCTTCTTCTCTTTCTTCTTTTTCTTTTTCTTTTCTTCTTCATTAAGATCTTCTTATCTTTACGATTTTTTTTTCTTCTTCTCTTTCTTCATCTTTCTTTTCATTTTCACTTTCTCCCTTTTCTCCTCCCTCCTATGATTTACTCTTTCTTTACCCCTTATTTCACTTTCTCATCTTCTTTGCATTTTTTATATTTTCTCTTATTCCTCGTTTATCAAATTTATGAACTCGTCACTGGTTTAATGAAGGATTTTTTAAATAATTGTTTGTAATTAAGGTATGAGAAGAAGCAAAACACACACACACACACACACGCACACGCACACGCACACGCACACGCACACGCACATGCACACGCACACACGCACACGCACACACACACGCACACACACATACATACATATACACACACACATACATACACATGCACACACGCATACTTACACACACCTTTGTTTTCCTCCCCCCTCCCTTCCCTCTTTCTCTTCGAAATAAATCAACTTAATTCCTCGACTTTCACCGGCGAAATAAAGGGTAAAAGGCAAAGACAAAAAATAAAAATGAAAGAAAAAAAAACTAGAAATATTAAGAAAATAAGAAAATAAAGATAATGAGAAAAAATGAAAACAAGAAAAAAGACAGAGAAAAAATAAAGGAAACAGGAAGAAAAAAAGAAAAAAAAGAAACAAGAAAAAGAAAAAGACAAAAAAGAGAAAGACAAAAAAAACAAACAAACAAGTAAAAGACAAAGAAGAGAAAGACAAAAAAAAAGTAAAAGACAAAAAAGAAACAAAAAAAAGACAAAAAAGACAAAAGACAATGAGAAAAAATAAAGGTAACAGGAAAAAATAAATAAAGAAAGAAAAATAAAAAAGAAAAAAGAAAAAGAAAGAAAGAAAAAGTCAATAGGGAAAAGAAAGTAAATAGAGAAAAAAAGAAAGAAAAAAAAGGAAAAAAGAAAAAAATCAAGGAAAAATAGGAAACTAAAAACGAAGCGAGAGAAACTCCTGTACA